GTTTCGGGTTTAGAGTTTAGGGGGCTGCAGGAGTTGCGTGGTGTACTAACTGGGTTCTCTGGGTTTCCTCTGAACCCTAAACCCTTCTTCAGAAGTTTTGGAATAGTTACAGCTTCGGCTACCTGTCGTACACTCTCCAAAGTCGGAGTCTACGTCAAGTCGCGGACTCTCGCCTCAGCCGCACAACACCAAAACCTCAAGATCAGGGCTTTCATATTTACAAGAAGGTGTCGACATATGTGTATATATACAGATACAGATATAATTATATATATATATATCACGGTAGAATTTTGTACGGACTATTTCCTATTGTTCAAACCTCTCTTTTCTTGGGAGCATGCGAATACATGTGCCCAGCCACCCAGCTCTGGTATGGTTCAGACAGGTGGGTTAACTTGCTTGCGTATCTCCACAGCCTCAGCCCCTCAACCGCAACCAGCAAGACTCTGAAGCACAGGCCATACCCATAGGCCCACAGTAGTTCCTTTTTGGGATTACCTTAGAGGATTCTATATATGAACCCCCAAAAGGAACTACTTTAGGGCCTATGGGTAGACCCTTCAGAAGTTCTGTCGAACCCTCGCCGACCTTGATCCTTCCCGCAGGCACCTTTACCGGGTTCTCCGCCCTCTGCTTTGCAGAAGCCGGTGCAGAGGTGTCTTGATACCGTTTGGGTAGTTCTCTAAATTAGGGTCCCTTGTTGGGTCCCCAATATAGTACGGCACCCTTATAAAAAGGACCCCAAAAGGGACCCCAATGTAGAAAACTACCAATTTGTGGTTGTGGGCCTGCGGCTTTTCGGACGGAGCTTTGGCCCTAAGACACTTCGGGAGAAGCAGGGAGGAAGGGTGCTGGGTGTGTCTTTCAAGCAGCTTTGGGTGATGAACCTATGCAAACAGGCCCGTCTGCATCATCTTGGATCTTCGCATGCACCGTTTCAGAATCGACCAAGTCAGATGCAGTTCGCTGTACACCACGCCCCAGGGATCACAGCCGTAAGCAGACCACGGGTCCCGCTTGGCGTCTGCACCATACCGGCTGCTGTGCTGAAGCCCTTAGCCAAAGGTGCCCAACCCGAAACCCGAAACATTTTGGTGTTTCGACGTTTAGGGTTTGGGGTTTAGGGTAAGCCATGAGCTCGGAGCAGCAAGCTCTGAAACCCTGATTCCTCAAGCTCTGAACCGCCGCCAAACCAGAAAGCAGATTTCTGACTTTCCCTAAACACAACTCCTGTTGCGAGATGAAGGCCTGGCCCCTGAATCTAAAGCCCCAAGAGCACCCTAAAGCACCATAATATAGAAGCCTAAATAAGTACCTATACTATTTTGGGGGGTCCCTTACTATAATATTAGACCTACAAGCCCTAAGCCCGAAGTGCCAATGTCGAACCCAGGAGCTGCCCGAGTCTTCAAACACCAAAGCCTACAAGCTCCGGGTTTAGGGTTTAGGGTTTGAGGGTTTTAGGGTTTAGGGTTTTAGGGTTTAGGGTTCAGGGTTTAGGGTGGGCCCAAAAGCACTGATTTGTGAACCCTGCGCCTTCACAGGCTTAGCCCTTTAGGCTCTTAATCCCCGAGCCCTGAGCCCTTAGACCCGGAAGCCCCTTACAACACGAATACATCTGCTTCTGACGGAAACATAAAGTCACGACACTATGACGATGCTTGAAATCTTCTGAAACTCTTCAAAGGAGCCATGCAACTCCTTCTTTCAATCGCCAGAACCCTAAACCCTAAACCCTAAACCGCTTGTTGATTCCTGCACCATGAGATCCAGGTTACAAGCTTCGAGCGCAGTGCCTCGCAGGCAGATCTCGCCCGCGAGTTCACCAGGAGCTCGAAAGGGAAGTTCGTCTCAAAATAAGGGTTATCTTTTTTGGGGTGTCCTTATAATAAGGATCCTAATTACTGTTTAGGGTGCTATATTAGGGTCCCCTATTTTCGGAAACCCCCAGTTGTTTCCGGGACTTATATAAACGGGTGCTTTGAGGGTTCCTGGAAGGCGGGATCTATATTTGGATTCAGGGTGAGAGGACGTTAGGGCAGTATTGTAGATTTTTGCGTGAGCTTTATTGAAAACTTTTCCTAAACTCATATCAAGGCTTCATGCCAGGCCTATTTAAAACATATAGAAGCATCATATAACCCTCTAAACCTCTGCAGGAGGTTGCAAAACTCTAGGCGCACAGGCACGGAGCCTAGAGAGACTCCAAGCCGTCAGTTCTTGATTTTCATGTCAGGACTGCGACGCGCCGGGTCGAGGCGGGGTTAGGGCCTATATGAGATTTATAGGTGGGATTCCCGCCCCCATATTTCGGGCATCATGCCAGAACACAGGGGTGAGAAGAGTTGTCTTCTCTAGTTTCTTCGAGTAAAATGTTCCCCAAAGCCTTATTCTATGCATTCAGGCTCCTATAGGGCTCACCTTGATTCCAGATGCCTAGTACTTGAGATTTTCAAGAAACCAGAGAACAGCGCTCTCCTCTTGCGGCTGGATAGGACAGGTTGGGTTCTTGCCACAGCCCCGACATCCAACACCCGGACTTGCTCAATTTCGCCAGCACCGCCAGCACCGATGCTTCGAAGTCCCGTTTTGGGTCACCCAACATTTCCACATTGCAGGAGTCCTGGACATATCTTTTGGGACCCTCAGAGGAATATCGAATTGAGAGCGACATTGTTCCTGTGATCCAGCGCTTCTAGCATTTAGGGGTCGCAGAGCATCAGAAATGTCCGTACTTAGAGGCCATACCTATAATCTCCACTGTAGTTCCTTTTTCGGGTTACCTTTCAGGATCCTCAATAACAAAAAAACCGAAGTACAATGGATGCTATAGGAAATATGTACGGGTCTCTTATTGGCTTTCTGAAGCTCCCATATAGGCAGCCGGGTTTAAGGGCGAGAACGAAGAGACCCTAAGCGGCAAAAGCCGTGAACCCGTAGGGTCTACGAGTCTACGGTCCTAACCCAGAACTCCACAACCTGCGGCTGGAACCACAAAAAGCTCTGAAGCCCCAAACCCAAAACCCCAAAGCCAGTCTTAAGTTGTCGGGTTTCCTTCAAGATCCCTATAAGCCCTGAACTAAACCGTAACGCCTTGAAGGTGCGGGTTGGGGATGCCAGCCGCCTCATGCAGACGCTGGCAAAAGCCGCAGAGGTCGAAACTGAGATCTTTAAAAGCTACAATCCCTTTTAGGTCCCCCAAAAAGCAAGGCACCCCTATACAAAAACCCTAGAACGGCACCCTATTTTTACAGAACTACCTGGACTCACTTCAAGCTTTACAAAGGATTGTGATTTTGGGGTTCAGGGTTTGTATGGCTCTAGAGCTATTTGCGGATTTGATGCTTCGGGGATTAGAGAGTGCCGGGGTGATAAGGCTCTGTGTAGCCCCTTTGCTGGAGTTTAGGGTGTAGGGTTTAGGGTTTAGGGTTGGTGTTCGGGGAGTTTCCGTGCAAGACCTGAAGCCCTGAAAGCCTGCAATCGCGTGATCCAGAGGCATCTATAGAGACAGAAACGGCTAACATAGGGGCTAAATGATTATTAGTACTATTTTGGGGGCTCCGTATTTTGATTATAGCATAATATACCATTAAAACCCTATTCCAATTATCAGGGTTCTTATACTAGATGTGCAGAAACGCACAATAGAATTGGGAGTAAGAGCAGTAGCGACACAAAAGCATTGACAAGGAAGAGAAGCAGCCCAAAGGCCGCAAAAAAGCAGATCACGACGGTCGGGTTTAGGGTTTAGGGTTTAGGGTAGTAGGAGTCCTTCGCGCAGGAGTTCTGCAGGTCGTGCACCATAACCCATCCCCTCCCGAAGCGCACTGTAATATAGAAGCCTCAATAAGTACAGTTATGATTCCTAAGGGCTCCTTGTTATAAGTATCCTTTCAAAGAGCCCAAAACCTTATTCCAACTATCATGGAGGCCCATACATCAAGCCTCGAAGCTTCACGAAGGCATCTGCTGAGCGATTCGATTTGCTCCACCTAGATGCGGCATCTTGGCTCATGCAGCCATGTACCTGCAGTCTCCATTTTATTTCTTTTTTTGTGGTTCAACCAGTTGTATATTCAGGATCCTAAAAGGTAACCTCCAAAAAATGACCTGCAATGCAGACGATGGGTAGGATTCAGGCTTCAGGGCCTTAGAGTTCAGGGACCTATAAAGCAATGGAATGCTTTCTGGCAAAGAAGCGTTCGAATTTATGGCTTGAGCCTAAACTCGCTAAGTTGCCCCAAACCCGAAACTCGAAGCAGAACCTAAAACCCGAACCCCTAAACCCCTAAACCCCTAAACCCTAAACCCTAAAAGCCTAAACCCCTAAACCGGCACCCGAAGGGCTGAGGGCTTGGAGCTGACTCCTCTGATGGTTCGGGTTATTCTCACTTCGACACACCTCAGGGTTCAGGGAACAGTTTAGGGTTCGGGTTGAGGGTTTAGGGTTCAGGGTTTAGGGTTTGGGGTTTAGGGTTTGGGGTTTAGGGTTTGGGGTTTTGGGTTCAAGAATAGCGCCTTACTCAAAAGGCTAACACCTAAGCCTACCACTTCGGCTCCCCCGTAAACCCTAAACCCCTAAAGCCCTAAGCCGCTCGTTTCTGACGGTCTTGGCCCCTTTGAGGCTCAGGATTTCGGATATTGAGCCTCAAACACAAAGCCAGGGCTCAGCAGAAATATTTGCCCTGGAAGAAACCCCTAAACCCTAAACCCTATACCCTAAACCCTAAACCCTAAACCCTAAACCCTCTGCAATCGCCATTCAAAACCGCGACTTGCAATCAGGTCCGGTCGGGTCTTGCATACAGCGTAGGGTGTGTAAGCCGACCTTTTATTGAACCACTTTCTGGTGTGGGCAAGGGGTGCTTGACTTTCTGCCTCTTGCAAAAGGATTCTTGGCAGACCCTCCGTAGACATCTATAGGTACGGAAGTCCCCGACATCACGGCACTTCGATGACATGTGGTTGAGGGTTTCGAGCATTTCGGATTTCAGACTTGTCATCGTAGGCTTTGGGATTGGGGAATTTTTGGTTTGAGGATTTGGAAAACTTCCGGGCTAGAGGGAATGGGGGCAAAGACACTTCAAGCTTCAAGACTATCCTCTATGGGTTTAGGGTTTAGGGTTTAGGGACTATCCTCTATGTTGCTTGATACCCATGAGTATTCATGGCCCTGAACGCAAGCATTCGTCGGCTGAAGAACGTTGGGCAGCAAGACAAAACCCCAAACCCTAAGCCCTAAAATCTAGAACCTTCGCCCCTACACTCCCAGGACATCAAGAACTATGGATATTACCTCGATCTTTGCTTGCGTGTCTCGGGAGCACATTGGCCAGGCTTTCCTGCGCTTTTCAGAAGGTTCCGGTTCTGTGGTGCCTATGCATATATATATATATATATTGTCTTTTATGTGTATATATATAATTATATATGTATATTATCGAGGATCCCGGGGGTCCTTATTCGTCGAACTCCTGCTTGAAGTTAGGGGCAGTTGGAGGCCTAGGACAGCGCAGATATCTTGGCGAAGTGGAGCTGCTATGTTCCTTTTACGTCCCCGCTAGCCCATTCTTGCCCGTCACCAATATCCTGCTTGCGCAGTCCTTCTGTTTTGGCTTTGCGCGGATGAGGATCTTTCTCTAAGAGACTGAAGCATGTATCGAGTTAGGGTTTAGCGCTGCATGGGTACTAGCCTTAACATGGTGCTGCTTTGATTTGCATCGTTGAGGTGAATGAACATTTCCACGGGCAGCAGGGATTTGGAGCAGATTACAAAGAATCGGAAGGTGAGCTTGAAACTCTGATCAGTTCAGCAACTCCGTACCATATACCGCATTGCACAATTATGGTTGTTCTGCTTCCTAGTCTAGGATGTGTCGTTGTTGTGCATGTGAGTGCATGTGTGTGGTTTTCTCCGGAGCGCATTGCACATGGCCAGTCGAATTCCCGGTGACTCTGTTCGCCCTCGTCCCGGCAGTGATTTTCTCTAGTGACTGCGTGGATGCTTCCCTCCGACGTGCACGGCAATTTTGCATGACATGTTATGAAGCTTTGCCACGCCACAAGAAGTCTTTGGAACGCCCTGTGGTCAAGTTTTACGCTCCTGAAGTGCTCTAAACTCATCAAGCCCGCGTTCAATATCTAAAGCTGTCAGTTCAAATTCAAGCACCAAACATCCGCCGCCCTGCATGACCGACTCGGCAATGCATCGTTCGGTTCAGCCTGATCAAGGAAGATCACTGAGACTTGTTGCACTTGCCATGCACTTGATGAACAATAACAACAGCACCCTCCCATCATCACCTGGTAAGGCCCGTAAACATGCCTGCAAAAATCCCTATAGGCCAAAAACCCTAGATGCGGCTTCAAGCTCAAAGCCAAGACTTCTTCGAAGGTTCCTCGCTTCTGTCGCCCAATGCAGTGATCCTTGCGGACAATGTCCTCTTCCGTGGGCCTGGCACTTGGGGGCTTTGGGATTAGGGGTGTTGGGATTCCAGGCGTTTTTCGGGTTTAGGGTTTAGGGTTTAGGGATTAGGTGGCTTTCTTGGGGATTTCAGGTTTCAGTAGGGTTGCACATCGGACAGATCTGACATGCACCCGCAGAGCCGTGGCTTCGGTTAGCTCAAACTCTTCCACCGTGTACTTGGTAAGATTCAACCTAGAACCTAAATCAACAAGTGTTTGAGCTTGAATTGATGTGATTTGCATGTGATGTGGTTTGCACGACATGCTTGAGTTCATGCGTAGGGCTTCAGCTACTGGTCGATGGCCTCGTGTTTCAGTGTTGTGGTGTGTTCTACAGTCGGCGTTCCTTTGGGCTTGGTCGAAGGACGTCCTAGCAGCTTCATGCCAGTGTCATGTTGAACTGCAAAGCGTAAAGCCCAAACCCCCTAAACCCTAAACCCTAAACCCTAAACCCTAACCCTACAGCAAGCCGAACCCTAAGCCCTCCACCCCAAACCAATGGCAAAACACGGACCCTACCTATAGTCTCCATGCTTATAACATCCTTAGTATATAATTGGTTAAACCAAAAGAAAGAAATACAATGGAGGCTATAGGTAAGTCCAAACCCTACAGCTGCCAACGCCAAAGCCTGAACGCCCCCCGACACCCTAAAACCCAGAGCCCCCACATGCGCAGTTCTCTAAATGAGGGTCCCTCTTATTGGTACTTTTATCAGGGTGCCGTACTATATTGGGGAACCTAAAAAAGGGACCCTAACTTAGAGCACTACCCACATTCTAAGCCAGCAAATCCTTAACGGAACCCTAAACCCTTAATCCTAAACCCTGAACCCTAAACCCTAAACCCTAAAACCCTAAACCCTAAACCCTAAAACCCTAAACCCTAAGCCCTAAAACCCTAAACCCTAAACACTAACCCTGAACCCTGAACCCTAAACCCGAAAACCACATTCAAAGCCAGCAAACTCCTTAAAACGGAACACCCAAGAGCCCAACTCCCCTTAACCCTGATGCCCAAACCTTAGCCGCAAAAAGGCACCCAAACCCAAATCCCTAACGGTTTAGGGTTTAGGGGTTTAGGGGTTTAGGGGTTTAGGGTTTAGGGTTTAGGGTTTAGGGTCTAGGGTTTGGGGGTTAGGGGTTTAGGGGTTTAGGGGTTTAGGGTTGAGGGTTTAGGGGGCAAGTATATTCCCAATCACCAAAAGTCCTAAGCCCCTATGGACCTTCTGCATCAAGATCTTCCATCCCAGCTTCGTTTCATGGCTCCTTTCCGAACCATTACGGTGTTAGCGGCTCAGGCTTCGTGAGCTGTGAGATTTCAGGGTCTTTAGTCTTGGGGCTTCGATATTTGAACGCCTGTGCTTTTCCTGTGATGTTCGTTGCTTTTGCAGGGACTACATGTCTCTACCATTCTATCGTTTGCAAGGCCCTGAATCTCTGAGTCTTCGTCCCCGAAACCTACCCTATTCCACAACCCAGGCCCACACCGCACAACTGAAAGCCCTGAGTCCCTGAAGCCCTTAGCCCCTGCTAAAAACCCCCTAAGTCCCAACCCCGAAACCCTATATCCCAACGAATTAACCCTAAACCCAAAATCCTAAACCCACCAACCCCTGCTATCCTGAACCCCTAAGCCCCAAACCTAAAGCAATTCCTTGGCTGAGGCTTGTGGCCGATACCAGCTTCCAGGGGGAAGGCCAACATCTGTAGGCTGTAGTCGGGGTTCTAGTAGGGATTCAGAGGATATGGGGATTTATATGGGATTTTGGTAGGGCTCTCGGGTTTTACAGGGATGTCTAAGGGACATTTATGGGGTTTTATCGGATTATCGTCCAGGGATCGTGCTATTCTCAATGTAGTTCTTCCCGCATACTGTGATTGGCTCATGATCTTGAAGGCCACTGCAGCAAAGGGATTTACGGGCTTGCTCTTTTTTTCCAGGGGGTTTAAAATTTAGGGTTTTGGTGTTTTAGGTTTTTGGGCGTGCAAACCCTTAACTTAAACCCCCAACCCCGGACCCTTGCTGAACAGAAGTTGCAGCTGTAGACATGCTACAGAGCCCATCGAGTGCTACATACGAAGAGCTTGGCGAGACTGTCACCGAGGTCTGAATCGTGGTGTTGTCACGTAGGTGTTGTTGCTGCAGACCGAAGTCGCGATGGGTTTTTCTGAAGACCGTTTGATGGGCTTGAGCTCTCCCCTAAACAGGAAACCGTAAATGAGTAAAGTCACCATGAAGGTCGCTGGGGGCGAATTGTGCGAAGCTTGCGCCACTTCATCCGTGCGCTGTTGCAAGATGGTTCGGACACAGAAGGGGCTCCTTGGTTTCTGCATTGCAGTGTAAGTTTTTTGCCAGCAAGAGCTAGCAGTAAGTAAGTAACCATGCAACGTGCCGGCAGAAGCATCACCAATCGAAAGCCGATGGCATGCAAGAACAACTTCACAACCAAACATGCAGGGTCATCATAATTGTGTTGCAATGATGATAGACCGAATACAAGATGCTGAGTAGAATCTGGAACTGCTAGTGAACCAGTGGAACGTTTCGAGCAAACAGATGTGGGTTGATGCTACGCAGGAGACTATGATCGTGGAAATATCTGCTGACGTGTAAGTGCTAGTAACTAGTCCTCCTGCAAGAAAAGGTTAACCGCAGATGCTATCAGAGAATGTGGCAGGAGCCTTCATGCTCTGGGGATTGTCATTATCGACGTTTCGGCATCCGGCGAGTTATTGCGATCACCAAACACAACATGCTGTTGCCGGAATCATCATCACCATCATCATCATCATCATCATCATCATCCTCGTCATCATCATCATCATCATCGTCATCATCATCATCATCATCATCATCATCACCATCATCACCATCTTCATCACCATCATCATCACCATCATCATCATCATCATCACCATCATCATCATCACCACCATCATCATCAGCATCATCATCAGCGTCACGAGCATCATTACTGTCACCTTAGATTTTACATCGACAGCCCCAGCCACCGTACTGGTAGTGTTCATTGATGCCGGTGTGGTTTTAGTTTATTGTATTAGCGTAGTCGCTGCTTTGAGTGGCACCCGAAAGCGGCGCTGCACGTTCGGACAGGGAGTTCGCATTTCGCATTCCACATCCCTGGCCGAAGGACATGCCTTTGAAGGGAGAGGTGACATGTCAGCAAGGTTGCCAGCAGGATAGCACATCAAAGGAATAGACTTCCGGGGGGTCCTTTTGCAACCATGGAATCCTCTTCCGCCGGCAAAGGTGATTTTGCCAGAAGATGATGGCTTGGCGATAGTTTGGCAACGATGTCCTCAGTGAAGTCGGTCAGGCTTGAACGAGACCTTGGCCCACGCGTCGCTTCGAAGGGCACTGCCAGGTGTATCACACGGGGAAACCTGGGCGCACTCACGGACACGGCACATCTCCACGACCGATGAGTGCAGAAAAACGGATGCTGGTGGCCGCACGCTCGAGCACTCAGGAAATCGGATTGTGTCTCACGGATGACCTTGTGGAGCTCAAGGCTTTTTCGCTCGTCATGACTTGATCTCCCCCTGTGATTCGATCGCGAATAAGAGGCCTCGGCTACAAAAAGTTCAACAGTGTTCGTGTGAGTTTTCAGGATCAATAGAACTTGCCACCCCGTCTCGATCATGTCCTTCACATCCGGACAATATATGAAGCACCCACATGGTTGCATGCGTTGGCGCTTGGAATTGGCCCCTTGTAGAAACCGATATTGTAGCGCACATTATTGGAACCCTTACACAGTAGCCCTGAACGGAACGACGAGATTGGTACGGGGTACTAAAGGTTTAGGGTTTAGGGTTTAGGGAGCGAAGGACAGGGTCATGAAGCAGCATGGCACAATCTGTCCGAACTCCATCGCGCACTGCTGCCTGTGTGTTCCCTAGGGATCCAGTGGTCGAGGAAGCGAGTCCGTAGAGAACTACTCATGTGTTCATACACCTATATACGAGAAGGTTGATTGCAAGTGCTCTACGGGTACGATTTCTTGTGGGTTCCCTTGCACACAGGGCTAGTTAGCGAAAGAAAGCTTTAAGGTGTCATCTGGTGTTTAAATGCAAGCAGCAAGAGAAGGCAGCAAATTGTCAAAGACCAGCCTGAATCGCACGGACTTAGTGCGAAGCAGTAACTAAAATCTGATCCCCACACCAAGAACTTCAACCCCTATACCCATAGGCCCTAAAGTAGTTCCTTTTTGGGGGTTCATATATAGAATCCTATAAGGTAACCCCAGAAAGGAACTGAGCCTATGGGTAAGCCATGAAGCCCGAACTTTACAACCCAAAAAAGCCCTAAGGCCCTGTAAGCCATGAGCCCTGAACCCTCCCTAAACCCTAAACCCTAAACCCTAAACCCTAAACCCTCAAAGTGTTTGGCCTGGTGTGCAGGTGGCTCCGCCCGGGTTCCCCGGTCTGAACGGCCGGGTTGAGGCACTGGATCTGTTTTGGAATCCTGACTATGGGAGTTTCAGAAAATTAGGGTACCTTATTTTGGGGTCCTTAGAATATGGATCCTATTATTTAGGGTACTATATTAGGGTCCCTATTTTCTGAAACCCCCAAATCTAACCTGAAGCAAGGGCTTGGGCTTTGCACTTTGAAGTAAAAAAACCGAATCTTACAGGATTGAGATCTCGAGGGGCTCCATGACGCTCTACATGACCGTAGGGTCAACGTCCGCGTTGGTTTAGGGCTTAAGGGTCAAAGGGCTCAGGATTTAGGGTTGAAGGTGTAGGGGTTTTGGAATTTAAAGTTTAGCTTTCTTGGAACGCCTTTTTCCGTCCCCTGTTGCTAACCTCCAGAATCCCGAACTTTTGTGGAAGACAGAAGCCAACCAGCCTCCTCTCAAATTTACACCCTCAGCGTTATCCGATCCCCTGTGCTCCTCACCTTCATCTGCCTGGTTGCTGTCACGCCAATCCACCGTCCGTGCCATATCAGTCTGTACTGCTTTAAGACCCTGCTGATGCTACTTGCGGAAGATGTCCAGCCAATGCTGCCCTTGACAGGGGATTGGCGGGTGAATCCAAACCCTAATTGAGAATAGTTGGGGTGGGAGGGACTACATGCTGACGCAAGCGCGAGATGCGAGATAAGTGGGTGTGCCCCTATTCCTCTAAAGTAAAAGGCGCACCCACCGCGTGCACACGGTATACAAACCCTATAATAAACCCCAAACCAAAAAAAACCTTGAATCCTGAACCCCGAACCCTAAACCCTCTGAAGCTCCTACAAGCCCTCTCAAAAGCCCCATGCGAGATGAGAGTTGAGGCCGCGGCCGCCTTGTGCAGCGGAATGGACCATAAAACTGCCTCGCTCTCAGGTTCCAGGACCCTCCAAGTACCCTGAAATAGGGGCAGATGGTCCCAAACTAAAGGTATTTAGGGCCTAACCCTGAACCCTAAGCCCTAAACCCTAATTGAGGGTAGATGGAGGGTCGAGGTGGTTCTGGCTGCGAGTTGGAGGATGTTGAGGGCTCTTGGGTGCTAGGAGCCCTGCAGTTGCGGATGTCTTTGCCCCTTTACCTTAAGGGTTCAGGGTTTAGGGTCTAGGGTTTAGGGTTTAGGGTTTAGGGACGAAATGAACCCCAAAAGGTTTCAGGTTCATATACCATACAGGGATTCATAGTATAAGGGTATAGGGCCCCTACTTCCAAGGGACATTTGGTCCCCAAGGTTCAAGGTCTGTGAGGCGTTGGGTTCTTTCTTGTCGGATGTCGGGTTGCTGTTCTTCTGGCTCCAGCGTTAGTAATATAGGGGCCTTTATAACGAGAATAGGGCTTTGGGGCGGATTATTCAAAAATCAGGGGCCTTAACAGTGAGAATAGGGTTTTGGGGTAGATTCTACTATATTGATAGTAAAGAGCTTCAAAAATAAGGGGCCTTAATAATGAGAATAGGGTTTTGGGGTAGATTCTGCTATAATAAGGAGCCCCCAAAAACCCCATTCTAATTATTAAGGCCCCTAACCCAAACCCTAAGCCCTAAACCCTAAAACCTTTAGGGCCTAAACCCTAAACCCTAAACCCTAAACCCTAAACCCTATTCTAATTATTGAGGCCCCTAACCCTAAACCCTCAACCC